AACTGAGAAACATTATTGCGACGTCATGGATTCCTCTAAATCCCAACTTCAGATCTTAAAAGAGTTCTCGTGAAAGTCCCAACCATTCCAGTAGTATTAGAATGGCACAATCTAGAATGTCGAATTAATAACTTTCATGGCATATAGTTTAAAATATATGGACCTATGGATTTCAAAGCAGCAAAATAAAAAGTATGAGATGAATACAGGTTCAGCTCATATACAGCATAGTCTCAAGACGAAGACAATGGCACCAGTCTTTCAACTATACAGCAGACATCGAATATTGCAGCCTCCAGACCTGTCTGAAGTATGAAAGTCACAATATTCCCAAATTGGCTACAAACAGACTTGAATCCTCAAATGATTTTGCACGCATTCCATAGCATTACAAATAACGAATGCGGGAGGAGGATTGAACAAAATCTCTTGTAAAAAGAAAGACACTTCGTCGTCTCCAAAACAGACACATTTCTGTTCTGTCTGGTTAAAAAATAGTGTTTGGAAGGTTTCAGATGTGTCCAGCAACCCAGCAGTGAAACGACATACAAGACGACTTCCTCTATTATAATGGTAGACTGTCATTAAGTAGATAATATTTAATTGTATTAGTTGCTGTTTGACTGCAATATCATATGTTCAGATTGGTTGTGTACTGCTCAGATAGCCGCTCTGCTTGACAATAAATTTTATACTTTCACTAGCCGTGCATTATCTCATCTGTGTATAATTAAATACACATAGAGCTCCATCAGTATCTGATTTTAAAATGACCTAACGAATAGAATTCTAAAAATGTAACCTGATCAAAAATCAGCTAAGTGCCTGTCATAAATGTTATTCATTTTGCTTATGAAGGTTAAATGCATTTTTAAATTTTAAATAACTTCTCTTCTTGCATACCAACGCAAAACGTTTTGTTATTGACTCCAGATCGTAGTATTTGCTCTTAATGCACTTTACGCTGCTATTAATGTTTTTAGTAGGAAATACTATTTGCTACTACTGAAAAAACACATATTATTTATTAATATTTGTCGAATTAAAAATATGCATGGCACATAGCCATATAAAGAGAGCAACTACACAAAAGCAAGCAAATACGACATAATAATTCTCTTAAAGATGTAGGTTTTTGTCACAATTTTAATTCCTTCAATTTCCTTTTTATTAAAACGACATATTGAAAATTTAAAACATGTATTATCCTTCTTATTTTTAAATACATCGATGATGACAAAAATAATATTTCTAGCTACTAATTTCCTTTATTTACCTAATTTTACATATATTTTAATAGAAAGACACGGTTACTTATATTTCAAGGATTGGCAAGCAAAATGTAAGTAACTGTAACCAAGTTTCTTCTGCTACTGTTTGTTTCTTTTGCTGACAATTTCGCCTCTTAATATTTTTTCTAATTGTGGTTTTTCTCGAGTTTAAAGTGAATGCGAGGCAGTTTCTTTAGAAAATTTTCTTCTAACGTAAAGTTGATCTTTAAGCAGGTAGCACCAGCTTCCTTTGCCTACCATCTATCTCGAATCTCTTGCTGCAGTAATGTGTAAATGAAAGATAAACTTATGTAACTGAGAGCAGTAGTTATTGAATGCGTTAAACTAACTGCTTGCTTAGGAAGATTATTAGGAATTATCGCGTCTTCTTAAAGCACTTTTTCTTTGTATCTGAAAGGCATTGGTGACTTAGGTGCTGTGAGAAATTAATAGGCTCCCTGAAAACATGGCATGCTTGGGGTAAGTTTACTTTACTTTGGTAAGATGTGTAAGGTATTTTCTTCCTCCTTCCAGCATGCCTTCATGGTGTAACGGTAGCACACTCGGCGAATATGCCAGAGGTCCAGGTTCGATTTCCGGTGAGGGCATTGCATATTTTTCCCCTCTCCTGCTTGAAAACAACCTAATGACTCTACAGATGTAGTGTGCCCACCAGCGGCCGAGTGGTAAAGTTGCTGAACACTGGTAGTTCAGTCCAAGGTTCGAATCCCGCGAACGGACTGGCTGCATGGGAGTTTTTGTGGTTTTCCTCATGTGTAACGTGTATACAAGCCGGTGTGCCCTAGAAAGTCCTCCACAAAGGCATCCCTCCCCTTAGGCACATAAACCTTGAGGCTTTGCCGTAATCACATAAAACCAAAAATCTACAGATATAGTAATAAAAAAGCAAAGTAGACACTTTTCTTAAGGTGTTATAGCATTAACAGGCATGGTTAAGACTGCGAGTTATTCTATCCCTCCTTACTGACTGTCTTCGTGGCTGTATTTTGCAAAGCACGTTCGGCTAGCAATCGGGAGGTCTGAAGTTTGAATCCCGGCGAAAGTATTATTGCACATTTTTCTTGTTTCTTACTTCGAAAAAACTTGATGACTCTACAAAATTACTTATTATTTTTTCAGACTATAATTTTTTAAGTAATTTTCCTTTTACTCCAATTTATGAAAAACGAGGTTTGAATGAAAGTAATTTATTTCTTTAAACATTTTATGTTAATTTAGATTAGATATCATTTGAGTTCTTGGGCCAAAGCCGAAAACTCACCAGATACAGGTAAGGGCTAAAATCTAGTTTGTAGTTGGTACAAAATGTAGACAAAATTTTACATCTGTTTGATAATCCTCCCCGCTTAATAAATCATCTGTATGAAATGTGTGAAGAAGTTGGATCTGTTCTCTGTATTTAAATCAGACACAAATGGAATGCAAAAATTATAATGCACTTATTTAATAATGAATAACATCAAGATTAGATTGTAGAGACATTAGGTATTTTTTTTTATAAGGAAGCAGCCAAGATGAAAAATTAACAACGCATTTGCCGGGAATCGAACCACTGACCTCTGGAATACCGGCCCAGAGTACTACTGTTACACCACGAAGGACGCTTGGAAAGCGGATGAAATACCTTATATACTCCCTTTTTTAAAGGGCGACTAAGGTTTTAGGGGACCTAGTCGCCAAATCCAGGGTGTGGAGAATCATCATCCACAATCCTTTTAGTTCGGGCGCCACTGTAGAGTCATTAGGATTTTTTCGAAGTAGGCAAGATGAAAAATTAGCAACCGCCTTCGCCGGGAATCGAACCACGGACCTCTGGAATACCGGCCCAGCGTGCTACCGTTACACCACGAAGGACGCTTGGAAAGCGGGAGAAATACCTTATAAGATAATTGATTCAACCCATGTATTTTTACCTTTTTCTTTACTGTAAAAATTTCCAGACTATTTTTCAAAGCAGAAGTGTTTGTTTATAAGGATTGTCAAAACATATTACTGTATCGGCATAACAAATAGGAACGTACTTCTTAACAATGTACAAATGTATATCGGAGAGAGAATTAGTTACAGCTGTTCCTAAATTCCTGTGACTTAATCCAAGACACTACAGTATTAATATTGCTATATTACTGTGTAAACAATATGCATATAATTGTCAACACTTTGAAATGATGAATCAGCTAAATCGTTATTTCGTGAAGAAAGCCTTTAAAGTCTTAGCATCGTGACAAAGAATCGTTATAGGATTTATTATATTAAATTTTATTAAACTATTGAGAACCTGTATCTTTCTTTGGCATAATGTAAAACATAATGCAAAAAATCTCGAAATTTCTTTTAGTTAAAACTGAAGAAAAATTTTGACGTTGTGTTTCGTGGCGCTGGCCTCATGCGGAAAATTTCAGTTTTTATAGTCATTCTGATTTTGTGTAATGCGAAGAAAAAACAATTTCGATGTATATGGTTTAAGTTAATTGAAAGAAGGCAACGACGTTTAAGATTTCTCCCACAATGGTTTGGATTCAAATATAGCCTTGTAAGTTCTCGATGTTACAGGATTGAAACAGATTTCATAACGTCACGCAACAAGAAGCAATAATGAGCAATAGCTTGGTGTTGGATCGCAGCAATCTCCAATTGGAAGAATGGTGTATTAATAGGTGTACTGGTCAAAGTCAACAAGCCGATAGACATTTATAGAAGGATTAGACATTATAGAAGCAGATTTTCTTTCATAAAAATAGACCGCGAATGTAACATGAATTTCTCTCAAGGTTTTGAAAACCTTGTAGAAAATATAGAACCAAGCTAGTCAAAGTTAATCATTACACCTAATATCATGAAACAAGTGGATGAATGCCTGATGGCGGATCGTAGATTAAATTCCTTAGGTGGAATGTTATTTTCAAGCAACACATCCCTCAAAAATGCCTATCATCCAAATGAAGACGAAAGAGTGCTAACATCACATTATTACACATAGTCATTCCTCGATGAGTGATGTTGCGAACCTGTTTCTCTCCCATAACATCAGAGAAGATCAAGGCTAGGCTTAAAATGAATGTTTATATAGCACACCCTCGTGGAGGAAAGAAAGGTCTCTAGTGCAGAACTGGATGCTCCTTCGATTAGCAACAAATTTTGTTCAGTTTTGCGATGAAACCCCACTTCTGGTTACCATGATAGTTTTAACTTTGGGTTAGCTTCCTAAATTTTTTAAGTGAAAATAGATCGATGTGTACATGGGCAAAGTTAAGGCAGTGCGCAATCTAGTTTGTGCAATTCTCTGATGTTTTTTTAAGTGAAAATAGATCGGTATGTACATGGACACCGAGTTTGTGCAATTCTATGACTTATTACGATATTTTGGTTTTGTGTAGCAGCTATCTTGAAATTGTGTCTCCCTGGTGTCGATCATGGCGTCAAAAAGGAATCGCCAAACAAAGGGGCACCCAATTGTAATTTTTTACGAGGAAAGATTTAGTATCGTCGATTGATTCACTTATTTTTCGAATTTGAAAATTTAAGTTTATTATCTATGACAAGATCCATATTATCCTGTGACATTCACTTACACGTATTACAGATTTTACCACTTAGAAACCTTACATATCTATTATACAAGCATACTGCTAGCTTAATATAATGAGCATTTGTATGCTCGGCCTCTTTTCCTAAACGCAGATTAATTTAAAACTTTCTTTTTTTCAGATCATTAGAAAATATCAGTGTGGATCAGCTAAGAACTTATTTAAACCTGGATGGAATGAATGCGTACAGATGAAGAGTCATTGCACTAAAATTCAAGTTCTATGTTTCGAAAAATAATTTCTTATGACTGACATTTGACGAATTTTTTCCGGTAAAGAGTTTCCAGAACATAGAAAATCCCGTTTTCCCATATTTCCTGAGATGTGCTCCGACATTTGCGAGTTCCTAAATACCGCAGTAAAGGTAAATGACTCCCTTGAATAGAAACATTAGATTCTTTTCACTACTAAGCGAACTTTTCCTAATATGAAACCCCAAGAAACTGAAGAATAAATGAAAAGAAGCCTTGCGCCAAATTGCTCCCCGTTCCCTACAAAAATCTCATGACAAGGCTACGAATACTCGACGGAAAAGCACTTGGTATTTGGTGAGGTCGATTAATGAGATCTCGTCCGCCTCCGAAATATGGTAATATCAATAACTGGAACGTTGTGACCTCCTCTATCTAGCATAATGGTTCGTCGTAAAAGAAAGAGACTTTGTAGACTTATTTTGACAATTTGCGTTACAGTATTTTGTGTCGGAGTACTACTTAAGGCTGCAGTGACAACATTTGAGATTCGACCTTTTATTATGGTCGACGGCAGACATTCACCGGGGAGTGGTTCAGTCTTATCCAGCATGTCTGCATATCACCATAAAAAGGTAAGTAATGTCTATAGTTATGTAATTTCTGTTTAGCTCTAAACTGTCTTTTAGTTTTGAAATCATGAGGTAAGTAAAGCAATATGTGAATGATTTTATGTAATTAAGTAAAACGTGCTTAAGCTACAACAATACTAATAGTACTTTATAAATATACATACTTATAAATTCTTAAAGTAAAATTACATTTTTTTGGTTATATACATATAATTTAGTGCATAAAATTCTTTAAAATCTAAGGATATGCTTGTTTGAGCGATGCAATTTTCTCGTTTCCTTAGTCAAGCTACGTTCAAATAAAGCTACGTTAAAATAAAGGAATAACGTGGCCACATGTAGCAGAACACCCTCTGTCTTAATAATCTGAAAACCTCAATAATATACACGAGAACTAATTTGTATTCTGGCAGAAAAACGGAATAAGAGAAGTGACAATACAGATTCCAAACATAAAATAACTGGTTATTCAAACTAAATGAATCTCACAAGTTTAGAAGGCATGAAACATTGTGCATATAGATATGAAATAAAATGTGAAAATTGTCTAAACGATTTCATGATAGAAGAATTGAGAAATAATGAACCTGCTTTCAGTCTCAATAAATATAAATATTTATTTTATAAAAAATATCCTGTTCCGTTGCTTTGAAAACAATAATAATGTCGTTTCTCTCAGTGAAATTAATTCTAAATGCTTTATTTTGCTTAATTATTACGATTATGTATATGTAATTAGCAAATTTCAGTTTCTTTCTCATTATGCAGTTATTTCCCCTCACGAAGCCTACTTTAAGGGCTGTCACTGAATTAAACTTGACACCGAGCTTCCTTTAATTAAAATTTAAATATCTAAGATTAGTATATGAGAATTTTGATTTCCTAGCTGCAACGTCACTTATGCATTTGAATAATAATAGTGTTTAGTTAAAATTTACTTTTTAGATATGCTATCAAATGTAACCTTTTGCATTTTCTTGCGTAGAATTCTCAAATTTATTAAACGCATGTTTAGAATTACGGATTGAGAATGAAGGTGGTGATATACTTAGAAATTCTGCTTAGCGGATGCTTTTAATCTGAAATGAAAAGGGAAAATTTTCATTACGAGATCTTGCTGTTCCAAATATCTGAAGGAGCTGTTTACAGTAGTTGCTTTCACTCGAGTTGCTTTCATATGGCACTGGCACGAGAAAGCCCACGATCGGCTTTTCAGCATTTCATGAATTAGTCTTGAATACGTGATGAGGTATTCAAGGTGTTTAGAAACTAAACAAATGCTTGGACATTTCAGCGTGCTAATGACAAATCTTGTATTGTTGACTTAGGCTGTTTAAGAAAAGAAAGGAAAAAGATGTTTATTTCAGTCAATACGCAGAGGGAAATAAAGATCATATTGGAATTCGCTAGCGTGCTATGAAACTTTTCTATGCCTATGTCTTAACTAAATTTAATAGTAAGGTCGTAAAAAGCGTGAGTTAACCACAGGTACAGCGCTATTTTTAGTGACTTCTTGCAATGAAAATGAGCGGTAGCGGTGAAAATAAATTGAAATATCTGAGGCAACGTTGCTTGATCTGCTTTAAACTTAGCTCATTGAGTGCAGCAATGAATAACTTAATACACCGAACAAATTTTCAAATTATTTTAAAATGCGTAAGTTTTTCGTTTCCTTAAAAGTAAAAGTCAAATCTTTTCGAGTATGCTAAGTGATTTCTCTTTCGAGAAAACAAAGCCGGGATAGATACAGTATGAAAAGTAACGATAAATGGTACGGTACAACTCCGTACGAGGAATTACCCGAATTCCGACTATCCGAATTGCTGATTATCCGAATCACTTTCAGAATTTAAGAAAAAATTAAAACTAAAAAATTAAGAGCGGGCCACATGCAACTTCTCATTGTCAAACGGATGCGCAACTTGACTGTCCAAAAACGGATGAAGACAGTCAAACAGCTTAGACCGAGATGTTCAGAAAGCAATGACTTTCATCACTTGTAATACTCTAAAGTATGCTATATAACATGTACGTAAAATTGTTGTCAGTTCATTTTAATTAATTAAAACCTCTTTTTCTTTAAAAATATTTTTTCTCCCATTTTCAACATACAGTGCATACAGTAATTAATTAAAATGTACGTAGATCCTTTCTTCGGAAAAAATCCGATTATCCGAATTTTTGATTATTCGAATGTTTGATTTCGAATACCTTCGAGTTACAAAAATTTGCTTACAATGCTGCTTTTGAAATAGACGGGAATCTTCTTGTCTTTAAAAATACTTTTCTAAACTTGATGCCTCATTTCTTTTCCACCTTCTATGCACATTTTCTCTAAAATTCGGATTCTATGCATTTGCGTTTGAGGAAATTTTATTTTCCTCTGTCATCATCTACAGCGCTAATAATCAAAGATGTCACCCAGTCAGAAAAGATAAGAAAGAAAGGAAAGGAAAGAAAGAAAAAGAGATGGAAGGAAAAAAAGAAAAAGCATTTAATTCCGCTTTTTTAATAAATTTTCTGTAGATAAATTTTAACTGAATATCAATTCGGCGGTAACTGGAATTTAGTTGAAATACAACATTCCAGACATTCCTTTAATGATTTTGAATCCTTGTGAAATTTTGGTTTTGAAACATTTTTCAGAGGTCTTAGATTATAGCTCATTTACATATAAAGATACTCACTCTGCCTCTGGTTTTCGACAACACTACGATTTCAAAAGTTTTAAGATAAAGCCCTGCATTTTTATTTGCTTTGTAATTTATGAAAACTTGCACAGACAGGAAGGAAAACCTGATATTTGACTTATAGGATGCTTGAAAAAGTACCTAATACATTCTTATGATTTTAAATTCTGAGGAGTAACTTCAAAGTTGCTTATAACTATTTCTCACATAAAGGATTTATTGAAAAATGTCTGAAGTTTTTGACAGCCTGTATCAAATTCCTCTGCCTTTGACAATTATTCTGAAAATGGAATTTATTAGAATAAATTCTATTTTTCAGTGCTTTACTGAGGTAATTACAATTCGACAAAGAAAGTGAAATTTTTATAATATATATTAGAAATAATTTTAATACATTGCAGGAATTACTATAATTTGATTCATACTTGTGTAATATTCTCATGAACAAATATTCTGTAATATTGTCAAGATATCAGAATATCTTCAAACTGTTTAAAAAGCCTGTTACCTAAAGTTAAGATGAAAAGTCATAAATTTTAGTATTTTAACGTGAGTAACATATTGAGAATCCCTAAATACATTTTGATGTTTTTCTAAGTGTCTCTTAATAGATGCATAACAATGTAACCGAAGCATCACTAAATTTCCTTACCTGCTGCATAAATAGTAAAATATTTTCTCCTTCCTTTTTACACGTCTTCGTGATGTAAGTGGAAGCATACACGACAAGTATTCGAGATGTCTAGGTTTCGAGTCCCGGCAAGGGCACCGCACATTTTGCATGTCTCCTGATTAAAACAAAACAAATAATGGCTCTAAAATAGATACGTTATTTATTATTAATATTAAAAGCGGTATTAACTGCATATAAATCCAGTTAAATATCCAGTAAATTTCATAAATTCTTTTAAACGCTGTAATTCAAAATCATAAAAGCTTTCTTAATTAGTCAGTAAAGTGATATTTTTATTACTTTTTAGTGCACTTTTAAACAAAGTATTGTTTGGGTAATTTGAAGCTGTTTTCAAATAAAAAATCTAAATGCGTATAGGAAGACAAGAGAAAGTTTCTTCTTCAATAACAAATTATTCTCGGCTTGCGCGTTATTTCACTAACCACAGATGCAACGATTATTTTTGATGGCACTAAATTTTCATTAAACTAAACATGACTTTACTCCCGGTTACTAATAAAGCATCCCATTAGTATCAAATCCATAATTAAAGTAAATCAAAAACATATAATTTTTGTTACTTGTCATAATAGTTAAAACTAAATTACATCTAATGCAGCGTTAATTTATTTCTTCACGCTACACGTCTGAGCAATTTTATTAAAATTACTGTTTTCGAGGGCATTTAAATGTTTAGAATGATTCAATTTTTAACGAACTTCTCTCATTTTAGAAAGTACATCTCAGCGCATTAAAGATTACTTTTAAATATTTAAAATATTTAACTTCATTACACTCGACTAGAAATAAAATAGTGCTACAAAAGCGTAATTCGAGGAATAAGGAATGTGCACAGCCTATGAAACATTGATCTAAAGTATAGATTTTGACTCTAATGGCACTAAAAATACTTTGCGGCTCATAGCTAAATAACCTTTCCCCTAATAGAGTAAGTAAATTAGTATTGGTAATGGATTCCTTTTCCCCAGCAAAGAATTTACTAATATAAATTCTGCAAGGAAATCTTTTTAAGAAAATGTTTTCTTTTACTTATTTTTTATTTCTTTCGAGTTTCTGAAGGAGTGTTTGTATTATTACTAATCCGAAACAAAGGCTTTCAAAATACTGCTTACTCTTTGCTCCTTCTTCTTTTGTTGGAAAGAAATAAAGTTATTGTCTATTTAAAATGCGCAAGCATATCCTGCGAGCTGAATGATAAAGCTGAAAGCTTTTCTTTTTCAGGAAATGCAGCTGGCAAGATTTCCAAATTCTTTCTTCTTGCTTTGAAATAAAAACTATGCTCATTTTTAGTTCTAAATCTTCCGACCCTAAAAATAGCTGAGTTGTGTATTGTTCTTATTTAGGTTGCAATCTGAATAAAAAAATAGATTTGAAAAGTTTTAGAATATCTGAGTAATGCCATGGAATATTTTAGCTTCAGTGACAAGAAAGGATTCTATTACAATTTCATATCTTTAAAAAATTTTAACGCAGGTTTATTTGTTATACTTTTGTGTAGTGACGAACATTAAATATTCCTGTTGAATTTGCTTTATTCTTTTGCACAAGGTGCAAGAGATAGGAGTGAAGTCGAGAATTGTTTGTGTCTACAGTCAAGTAAGAAAGGAAAGCATGGAGGA